CTCTGTCTCCACGGTCTTCTTGGCCTTCTCCAGCTCATGGATGCTCTTGCCAGTCTCTCCGATCTGCTCAGTCAGGTCAGAGATCTCCTCTGCACACACAAACATAAGAGCTGTTTAGACTTGGGAGATTTTCAGCGGATATCACCAGTACACTGAAGTTTATATTGAATCATAATAACAGTTAATTAATTAACAGCACTTCATACTGTCTTGCTAATCTAATTGCCCCCCACATCCTTGGGTGGTTCAAAGGAATACCAATTACATGTTCCCAAAAAGTATATTTTATACTTTACATGAGACGGTTTAATAGTAATTTTGATATAATGTTGATGATTACAGTTAATTCCATTTTCAAACACTAGTCAAACATCAGTCAAATAGAACTGCTGTCAAATGCTCACGTTGCAGGTTCTTGTTCTCTCTCTTCAGAGTCTCCAGATGATCCAGAGCCTCCTCGTAGGAGTTCTTCATCTTGAAGAGTTCAGTGCTCATAGAGCGAGCCTCCTTCTGAGCTCCTTCCAGCTCAGCCTGACCCTCTTCATACTTCTGCTTCCACTCTGCCAGAACCTAGGGAAATACATGGGATTTACATTAGAACTCATTGATGGAGGGTTCTGAATCAGAAATATGCTACAATTATACTACAACTGATCAAATAGCAGACAGAAAATATCACCTAGAGTGAGGTTTATAAATGTTCACCTTGTCAAAGTTCCTCTGCTTCTTGTCAAGGTTGGCGGCCATTGCGTTGGCTCTCTCAACGTCAATCATGAGGTCCTCCACCTCTCCCTGCAGTCTCTGCTTGGTCTTCTCCAGGGAGGCGCACTTTGAGTTGGTCGCCTCAATGGTCTCCTCAGCCTCCTGCAGACGCTGGGCCAGTTTCTTCCTGTTGGACAACAGAAGGTGGTGTTATGGTGAGCAATTTGTTGTGAAACAAATGTTGCACTACATATTGACATAACATTTTCTCAGAGCCCCCTATCACCCTCACCATCCACACCATTTATTTGAGTTTTTGCTACTGCGTGCAACTCACTTGGCCTCCTCCAGCTCCTCTGTGCGCTGGATGGCATCAGTTTCATACTTAGTCCTCCACTGAGCCACCTCACTGTTGGCCTTAGACATGCCGCGCTGCAGCTCTGCCTTGGCCTCCTGCTCCTCCTCAAACTGCTCTCTCAGGAGGTCACAGTCATGGCGGGCAGACTGGACACCGTGGGCCAGTGCATTTTTAGCCTGAGAAAGAAAGCAAGAAAGACAAAGACAAAGAGAGATTAGATAGAGAGTAAATCAAATGGCAGTAGAAGTCTCTGAGGGTGGCGTAGTCACCGTCTATATGTATATAGAGCTCTAAATTGTGGTGGGTGGTCTCCATTTTGGGTCCCTTACCTTGACCTCCTCCTCAATCTGCCTCTTCAGTTCCTCCACCTGCTGGGTGAAGGCCTGTTTGCCTCTGGTCAGCTGAGACACCAGGGCTTCCTTCTCCTCCAGCTGACGGCCAAACTCACCTGCAGGGAAAGAGTAACCTCTTGTTAATGGGGTCTCTGTTCTCGAAGATTGAAAATGCATTTGAGGTATCGTAGGGCAGAAACTATGTGGACCCAACACATGTTATTGTTTACTACTGAGGTGAACTACATTGGTTTGGTTTGTTGTTCATTGTTGATGGTACCATTTTCTGTCAGGAGTCTGGCCCTCTGTCCGCTGATGTCGTTGACCTGGCGAGCATTCTCATCATTCTTAGTCTTGATCTCGCTCAGCTGGTCCTCAAGAGTACGGCACATCTTCTCCAGATTGCCCTGTTAGTGAAACATATGCGACTCCTGTCAACTTCAGTTTACTTGAATGGTAATGTAGCTGACCTTCCTCAACACTGCTTGACCAAAACATCACTACTCACCTTAGCCTTGGCGACAGCCTCCATGTTGCTGGAGAGGTCATCAATCTCCATCTTGTACTCACTCTTCTCCTTCTCCAGCTTCTGCTTGACGCGCTGCAGGTTGTCGATCTGCTCCCCGAGCTCAGCCACACTGTCGGCCTGCTTCTTGCGCAGAGCGGCGGCTGTGGCCTCGTGCTGCAGGGTGGACTCTTCAAGATCACGACGCAGCTTCTGGAATTCAGCCTCGCGCTTCTTGTTCATCTCAATCTGAGCAGCAGTGGCGCCTCCGGCCTCCTCCAGCCTCTCGCTGATCTCCTCAAGTTCCCTGGAGAGATCGGCCCTCTGCTTCTCAACCTTAGCCCTGGCAGCACGCTCAGCCTCAATTTCCTCCTCCAGCTCCTCAATACGGGCCTAGAACAGGGGGCAGGAGCAGGGGGGATGAACACTACAATACAGTTGAAACAATTGAACCTCACTACATAATAATAGTATGTACAGTATATTTAGCATAAATGTGTTAATACATAGCCAGTGTAGTGTATTGACAATATGATGGTGTTAAATGTTGTTTAAATGGAACTGAAAGAAGGTTGATTTTTGGTATCAAGAAGGAAGGTTTTAGCGTGACGCCACATATGACAGACAGGAAGTGGGTTGTAAGATACGGGGATTGAACAGTAGAGGGAGCCATTCAACTCTTGGAAGGCTATATAAAGGGGGGAAGAACGGCGGAGAGTTAGAACGGCCATAGCAATCGGGGAGCCGTTCTCCGGACCTCGAGAGTCTGTTACTCATGCTGAAGCTTGTGGTCTGAATAAACCTTATGATCAACGTTCAGTATGAGCAGACTCCTTTTGTTCAGCAGCAATAATTGCCACCATCATCGTACGACAAAAGGCGAGTTGCCGGGATGTTATGCATCCTTT